TCGAGGGAGTGCAAATTAAGATGCTTTAACCTGTCTCTGTACTCAGGTTCCTAATGCCAGATTAGTCTTGTCTTTCTCCTCTGAATTCTTTCCAGGATTCTATATCCATTCTGTAATACGGTGACCAGAATTGAACTGCGAATCCAAGTGGGGTCTACAAGTTAAATATATAGTTTTAAGATGACCTCGCTAGTCTTGTAACTAACACTCCTTTGTATGAACCCAAGTACTCTATTAGCCTTGTACGAGCAAATAACATTGTTTACTTGGCTTGTCCTACTTATCATTACTCCTAAATCTTTCTCACAATTGGATTTCTCAATAACATCGTTGTTCATCTGGTATCTGGTTTCCTGTTTACATCTCCTATACTGAGTTCTTTACATTTGTCCACATTGAATCTCATCTGCCATTTTTCAGAGCATTCGAAATTTTTTTTTAGATGTTCATGTAGTTTTCAGTATGATACAACTCTCTCTCAGTAGTAGGTATTTCTTTAAACCCTGAATAGATTGATCATGTGTGGTAAATGGTACTTTGCTTCACTTCACAATGCGTCAAGTAAATTAGATAGTTAAGTAATATATAGATAATGGCACCACCAGTTAAGAGTGATTCATGGGTCAAAGGATGACATTTACCAGCCAGTTGTTTATACACGTTATATAAACACCGCTGACTATAGTTTTGCTTGACATTCCACGGAGATGACTACTTTCTTCTTCGAGAACCTTCTAGAAGCTTGACTCAGATCGCCTTATTTTATTATTATTTTTTTTGGGGTTAAGGTGGGGAATGGATGGAAGGCATGCTGGCTCAAGGCACAGCCAGACATAAGGATAGAGAAGTCACAACATATAGTCGTGGGGTTGGAAAAGTTTAATGAGTTAAACAGAGGGGACGACACCCTTGTTTTACATACAGGTATTACAGAGTTTGTTGGCTAACTATAACCTAGGATTTAGGATGAGGCACAATGGTTACTTTAGTAGACAATGACTAAGTTGATTTACAACATGAAAAGTTTATTAAAATCTTATACCTTGTACTGTATTACGTTATGGACTCACTAGATTGTGACTTGTTAAATGTGAACTTATATCATCTAAGTTTTAATCCAAGGATCACCGGACATAGATGGTCGCAGGTTGGGTTGTTTTAGTACAGGCAGATCTGCCACCAGGCGTGGGGTCGCCCTCGTTGATGTCCTCCTGAGGGCTGGGCTGTGAGGGTCTTCCAGGAGCTTGTCCCAAACCTTCTTCCCTAGGCGGTGGAACCTGACGTTGAGGGCTCCTTTTTTATTTCTTAGGTGGATGGTTTCCACTGTCTCCTGGTAGGGTGCGCCACGGCTGACCTCAAACACTTGTTTTGGAAGCTCTGTAGTTGTTGTAGTCTAGTGTTCCTGAGTGTGACGAGTGGTATATGTGGGTACTCCAACACAGGCCTCACCAGCCGTACAGGTGAACTTGTATCTTCTCAGGCATCAGTTTAAAACGTTTTAATTTGGGCCGTGACTGGCTTTATTTAGTCTGTCCTTCACTAAATGATGCTGCCCGCAGAGATGATGAGGCCGAGCAGCCTGCCTTGTTTATACTCAAATTCTTCACGCCGATCATCAATGGAACCAATTTGGCTATGAGTATGACCTCGAATTTCGTTTTGTTTGTTTTTATTTTCCATTTATTTTCATACTCCGAGATCTCCTCTGCCCCTGGCGCCATCCTTGCCGCTGGACCTTCCTGGGCAGGTGACGATCTGTGTTACATCGTCGCCATGCATTACGCATCGCTGCCGACGATTTGGCAGGTCACATGTAGAACGTGTACGTCGAGAGACAAGAGCCCTGAGACACGCCGCCGAGTGAGAATTCTTCTCCAAAATGTTCTTGCATCTTGATGGCTTTGGCGCCGTCCGTAGGCGACAGGAATTTTATGGGCTGTTTCGCCTTGTCAGTCTTCAACTGGACCCGTTTGAGTAAAGATCTACACCTGGACCACCTCAGTTCGGGCTTGCCTAACACAGAGCCCCGCCCCCACACCGAGAACCCAGTAATAGATCATGGGGCCAGTCTAATTAACTGTACAGTATTTAGACTTGTAAATATTGCACTGTACATATACACCAGTTTTGATGCTGATTATCCCCCCTTTTGTGGAAGAAGTGACCGCTCTGTTGGACCATAATTATCGACAGTCTCAGGCATCCTACTGATATCAACGCGACTCTAAATAACTACAAGCAAATTAATATTTAGTGGACTGTATATTGACGTCTCACTCCTCACACTACAGTACTGTACATAGTATAGGCATATAAACAATGGATATATACTGTAGATGGTGCAGGTATACAAAACGTATTTAAACATTATAGGAATATAAACAATGGTAAACAGTAAGTTGATCAACAAAGAATAAACCAACATACCCTTTAAAAGCGTTTTACCTCCATTTCTACCAAAAGTATTTCTATGTGAATGTGTGATATGGGAGGAAATTGGTTTCTCCAACTGTAGTTATTAGAGTGTTGCTTTCTGTTTGTATTTTACGTAAGTGCGGAATTGCAGGTCATTGTTTCAGAATTTGTCAAGTGAAAATTGCGTGAAGATTGACCTTAACCTTCGACATTTACAGTAACCAGACTTTTGGTATAATTTGCTCTCAGAATCTTTTAAAATGTACTATTCTGCTGAAGCATGGAAAACAAAAAACCCAATGACTTGATGGCCATTGCATGAACAGCTATGAGCCTGTAAGTTTGACCAGCATAGTGTGTAAATTACTAGAGGATATTATACACGATGTCATGATGGAACATTTGCAACGAGTTATGCCCGGACGCTCCAGACTCCAGTTGCTTGACGCAATACTTAAGCCAAGTTTCGGGTGTAGACACAGACCCTGGAGTGAGTTGGTAACATTGATAATATATACGTTAACCTGAAAATTAAACGAAGGGTACGGAATTCGGGAGGCAAAATTTTTCGGGTGAGTCATAAACTGTGGTAACCTGCCTGAGACTGTTGTGGCAGTAATATGAGTTCATTCAGACCAGACTTGAACGACACAAGCACAATATTCTGGAACCAGTACTTGCCAACAATGTGTTACAGAGCCAGCAATACTTCCCAACAGTGTATAACAGAGAGCCAGTGCATGGCCAACACTCTACAATTAACAGTGTCTAATAGAGAACCATTATTGCAGTACTTGCCATGGATAGAGACGTGACAGATCGCCCAAGCGGCTAGAGACCGATCAGTGACGAAGAGGATAAAGTAAAGAGAGTTATCACCACCCCTCTTTAATATGAGACTCACATATTTTGTTCATCTCAGCATCTGTAGAATAATATTTTAAAAGTAGTGGGACCCAGGAGTGAGGTGGTCCAAACTGGCAGGAAGTCAGTTGTGTTGTGGATCAACTAATCAGCTTACCAAGAGGCAAGAATACCTCCAGTACCCTCATTCTCGAGTTTACTGAAGCTTCGAGGCCTCTCACTCACACATACAGTACGCCGTGAAAGAAATACTACATCTTGTGGATCACTAATAAGACAATAAAATTTGAGTCGTTCACCAGGATAAATATATACAATTTTCTTGACATAAAGAAGGATTATCACAAACTGGATTCACAACTCCATGACTCCCGATCCGGAGTTTAGTTCATGAATTAATCGAATCCTGGGTGTTTCATGAGGCTTTGAATATGACGTCATGGATGGGCTGGGCTTAGAAGCAAGTTTCGGGTTATGTACTGATCGTTGTACTTGTTCTTAGTCACCAGTAACACACCGAAATGATAATAATTACCATAAAATACCTACATTAATAGCGGATTTACACGAGGAGTGTTACTAGTTCAGTATGCTAGCCCAGGAGCCTTGCCAGTATACTGAACTAGCATACTTGCGGCAGTTGACACGCAAGGGAGGTGTGTGGAGGTGAGGGAGGTATGTGGGGTGAGGGGAGGTGTGTGGAGGTATGGGGATGAGGAGGTGTGGAGGTGAGGGGTGTGCGAAGGTATGTGGTGGCGAGGGAGGTGTGTGGAGGTATGGGGGTGAGTGAGGTATGGGGTGTGGGAGTGAGGGCCCAGGGAGGTGTGTGGTGGTGAAGGAGGTGTGTTGGGGGTGAAGGAAGTATGTATGAGTGAGGGCCCAGGGAGGTGTGTTGGAGGTGAGGGAGGTGTGTTGAGGTAAGGGTATATTATATGTCACCGTGTGTGTGTCTAGAAGCGGCAACAGAGAGAGAGAGAGACAGAGAAACGCGGTGTTTTTGAGAGTTGTTTTATGTATGCTGGTAACTGGGGTGCTAACTATTGTTGCAGGTGACGGCTCGTGTGTGTGTGTGTGTGTGTGTGCGCGTGTGTTGTCTGCGTGGTTGGGCAATTTCTATTTTGTATTTTCGGTGTTTTTACTGTATCCCTTTATTATAAATAATCTTGCTGTTTTGTGTTCAAGTCGTTAAGTTTATTTTAAGGTAGTGTGTGTATGTGGGTTATGATACGCTGTATTTTCATAAAGGTATTTAGAAATCTGAGTTAAGCATTTTTCACTGTATTGCTGTATTGTTGTTGGTATATTTATATTCAGTATTACAGGTGCAGTGTGCCGTGTGTATACAATAGTACAGCAGGTGCGCTTCATGTGTAATTTGTGTGTGCGTATGAATGTGTCAAAATAGAGAGATAGAGAATATTTAAAGTGTTGTTATACATCTTAACACAAGAGATTGTGAGGTACCGCTTCCTCACTTACTACGAGAATTTCTTAGTGGTTGAGTTAACGAGGGAGGGGTGAAGGGGGTGACGAGGGAGGGTGAGGAGGAAGGGGTGACGAGGGAGGGGTGAGGAGGGAAGGGGTGACGAGGAGTTGAGGGGGTGGCGGTGAGGAGGTGACGAGAGAGGAGAGAGGTAAAGGTGACGAACGAATGGCTGGCGGGGGGGAGGGGGTCACTTGGCACGGGGGTACTGGCAAGCAGCACACCAGAATCTCACTTTTAGTGTGGTCGTGTACGAGTGTGTGGAAGACACGTCCTCCGGCTGTGATAAAATACCTAACACCTTCCTGCGGGCGTCCACCATCCTTCCCCCTTCTACTACTGGTGCCTACGGAGCTCTTAAGGCCCCTGCTGTCTCCTGCTGGATACACCGTGTCGAGCCTAATGATCCTACTAGCTGTTGCCTGCTGAGTACACCGTGTCCTTCTATAGGTAGGTCCTGCAAATTATATCGTTGCACATTACTTTCTCGGAACCTTGCTTTAAACATCTGTATTTGTGTTTTATAAGTTAATTAAGTTGTAGGGGATGAGAGTGCAGGTAAAGCCAGGTGTAAAAAGAGGGCGGCCCGACTGCACATACACTTCTATTATTATTATTATTATTATTATTATTATTATTATTATTATTATTATTATTATTATTATTATTATTATTATTATTATTATTATTATTATTATTATTATTATTATGAATACATAGATCGGTTCGGTCCATGGTTTTGTGTGTCTGATTGTTTGTCCTCACGTTAAAGTTCACAGTATTCTTTTAATCTTTACGAGAGTTTACAGCTGGTCAGCCTCGGCGTAACAAGAGAGTGGAGCGAAGGAGGTGAATGATGACAAAGTTCGAGTGAATGGAACACGGAGGACGCAGTGGCAGTGTGATAATGAGTGATGGGAGGGGGAGCTATAAGTCACTCGTTAACACTCTATCAGGTTTTAAAAGTCACGCGCCACACTTTTGAGTCTATTACCGAATGTAAAGTACAATAACTCATTTCCCTGACAACTGAAATGAGTTTATAACTTTGCCGAAACTCATTAATTTCTGTACTGGAGGTGACTGTAATCCTTTTGAGTCCCTCTGTAATCTCTGCTTATGAGTCCAGATTCACAAAGATTCGTTCATTTAACACTAAAGAAAATTATGGCACAGAATATATGGAAGAACTTTGTGCCCTAATATATAGAAAAGAAACAGTGAAAAATAATAAAAAAATAGAAAAAAGGACTAAAAAACAAGATAAATGAGAGATAAAGAGGGAAAGACAATAACAGAAAAAGAGGCGACTGTAATAAATAGTATACAGCTAGACTTTACAAAGGCTCGCAGGTGACAGTAAACACTATGTTCCATAACTACTTTTAGGCAAGATTCCTCCGGGGTCCACACTACTAAATGTTCCCTACGGTGAATCTTCCTCGTATCAGAAGATGTAAGAATGTACCAAAGTGCAAGTTAAGATAAAACTAGATTGCAAAGGAAAAAAAAAAATAATAATAAAATGATTCGTTAAGAAACAAAATTTCCTTATATTTCTAAAAATCTCACTTGCTGGTATTAAAAAACATTATTTTATTCAAGGCTTTTTGTTTGAATTTGAAGCTATTTTTGTAAGCTATGTCTTGTGTACGTATGTGTGTGTGTGTGTGTGTGTGTGTGTGTGTGTGTGTGTGTGTGTGTGTAATTTATCTTACGAGGAATATCTATCTTACGAACTTTTTAATGATCTGACTTTCACTTTGATGTCAAGTTTATCTGTCTGATGGTCGTAAGTTAAAAATGTCATCTTGATTAAATGAGATTATTTTTCCTTGAGATGATACGATATTATAACCTGAGTACAATGAAGTATCTCCCCGGGTACCATAATTTAACCCCTCGAGTACGATGTTATATCCCCTTGAGTAGGATGTCATAGGTGGGGGTGGTGAGTAGGGGAAGGGAAAGGGGGGGGGGATTTAGAGAAGGATGGAAAGAGGAGAGGGGAAAGAGAGAGGGTGGGGGAGGGGGAGAAAGAGAAAGGGAGGGAGGAAAGGGAATGAGGGAGGGGGTTTACATGTGCCACAACACGCCTTGTTTTCTATTTATATCAAGTGTGTGGCGTTGTGTACCACTACTACCACCACTACTACTTACCTTTACTATTACTACTACTAATACTATTACTAGCACCATCACAACTATTCTCTCGTCTGTTCTATACTGGTTTTATCATTATCATATAATTATCATCATCATTGCTATTATTATTTTTGTAAGTATTATTTTTACAATTATTATTATTATTATTATTACTATTTTTTCTTATTCGTGTAACTTATTTTTTCTTTCTATTTATTGCAGATGAAACGTTGCCAGCAGTAACGTGAAGGAAGTGACAGGGAGGTGATAGAAGTAACAATGAAGTGACAGTTATAAAAATGATCGTTCAGTGAATGTGAGGTGAAAGAAGTAACGGTTAAAGCTTCAATGAGATGAAAGAAATGACAATGAAATGAAAGAAAAGCGAGTGAGGTGCCAATGAGGTGAAAGAAGTGTCAATGAAGCGAATGAAGTGAAAAAAGAAGCGAAAATAAAGTGTCTGTGAAATGTCAGCAAGCAGAAAGAAGTAACAGCAAAATAAAAGCGTGAAAGAAGTGACAATGAAGTGAAAGAAGTGTCAGTTTAGTGAAAAAAGTAACAATGAAGTGTTAATGAGACGAAAGAATTTGTCCATGCCGTGAAAGAAGATTCCCTTAAGCGAAAGAATTGTGAGAATAGTGCAAAAGTAGTCAGTGAAGTGAATGAAGTGATTGAAGGAAGAAAGAAGAAAGAAGCCATACAAGATGAAGGTCACTATCATCAGCGCCTTGATCGTGTTTTGTTGGTGTTCCTTGAGGATATTCGCTCTACCTGATGAAATTAACATAGGCAAGTGGAATAAAATATCTCTCTCTCTCTCTTTCTCTCCTACCATGAATCACCAAAAGTCCTCACCTTTCTTACAACTCATGTTCCTCACCTATCTCACAACTCATATTCCTCACCTTCCTCACAACTCATGTTCCTCACCTTCCTTGCAACTCATGTTCCTCACCTTCCTCACAACTCATGTTCCTCACCTTCCTCACAACTCATATTCCTCACCTTCCTCACAACTCATGTTCCTCACCTTCCTCACAACTCATGTTCCTCACCTTCCTCACAACTCATGTTCCTCACCTCCCTCTCAACTCATGTTCCTCACCTTCCTCACAACTCATGTTCCTCACCTTCCTCACAACTCATGTTCCTCACCTTCCTCACAACTCATGTTCCTCACCTTCCTCACAACTCATGTTCCTCACCTTCCTCACAACTCATATTCCTCACCTTCCTCACAGTCTTCGTAAGTCGAAATACTTTTCTTAGATGCATTACTGTTAAAGGTAATTAAGTAACCTTCCCCATACATTAACAATAAAGGTAACCTCCCATACATTAGCAATATAAGTAATTAACAACCCTTGTGTGTACATGAACAATGCAGATAATATCAGTAATCTTCCACATACATTAACAAACTTAAGGTAATTAGGTCCCGTGCGTTGTAGCCCAGGCAGGTGTTGGTGCTGGCGGGGGTCCAGGCAGGCCAACAACCCCCCCCCCCCCTGTGGTAGTGTCAGCCAGGATGGAGTTTGTTTGTGCTATGTAAGTCGAACCCCGGAGTGTATGTTCTCCCGCCGCTACTGACGACTCCCAGCTGTGCATCCCTCCCTCCCTCCTGTCTTTCCTACCTCATACTTTTTGTCCCTCCCTTCTTTCTTCCTTCATACTCATGTCCCTCTTCCCCTTATACACCCAGTACCTTCCTTCTTCCCTCCCTCATACTTTTGTCCCTCCGTCCATTATACACTCAGTATCACCCACTCTGTCCCCCCTTGTTCCCTCCCTCATTGTTTCCCTCCCTCCTACACGCTGGTATTTGAGAGAAATTCTTACACCAACACCAATAATAATAACTCTTTTATGTAGAATATTAAATCAACCGCAATATCCTATGTATTCGTCCACCTTGTGTAAGCTCTACCAAACTGACTTTAAAACCTTCTCTGAGTGAAGCTTAGGAATCCTGCTAGTCACATTACGCTGGGATTAAAGGTTCATATCTGGGGGTTCAACGCTGGCACCGTGCTGTTTTTGGAACCTGTGTGTGTTTGTCTAAAGAAGACGTCAACAGAGTGTGTGTGTGTGTGGATAAGAAATTCAGGTATTTGGAGATTATTATGATTATTATTATTATTATTATTATTATTATTATTATTATTATTATTATTATTATTAATTGTAGTAGCAGTATGAGATAAAAGTCAAGTGCAGCTCCTCCTCCTCAGTGCCGGACTTAAAATAGTGAGTTTATTTTTGTCACAAGCGGTGTTTCTAGTTTTGTGGTGTGGTTGGGAGTAGCAAGCGTAACAGTACTACCAAGTTACTAACAGACACACGAGTACAATGTCCTCCTCAACAAGCGCGTGGTATTGCTGTTTACAACCAAGTCGGAGAATCTGGACCTAACCAAGTTAATCTGCCCTAATAGTTTACTAGTTTAACTTAACCTAGCCAATCTAACTAACCTAAATCTATCCTAGCTACTCTGACCTACCCTACTAACCTAATCTTGTTAATCTGTCCTAACACCCTACCAATTTAACTTAACTTACCCATTTTAACTCCCCTAAACCTAGCCTAGCTACTCTGACATACCCTGCCATCAGCGCCGGATTTTTAGACCTGTGGGGGCCCTCTACAGTTCAGATGTGTGGACGCCCTGGGCTCCACACAACTTAATTTTAGTAACATACCCACAAGCTGTTGTTTTATAAAAGTAAAACGCCTCCCCCCAAAAAATAAAAAAATGGTTACCCAAGGCCTAGAATATGGAAAATTTATTTTTACCTTAAATCTCTGAGTAAACAACGGCATAGCCTAGCTTATATACAGTACACCTCCAAGGTTACCAACTACATACAACGGCAGAAATAGTTGATGACGCACCTCCAAGTCATCACCACTGACAAATTTCCCGCCGCCAACCTCAGCAGGAAGACTATTTGGAGTCATGTGTTGCTTCGCCTTCATGTCAGTTTTTCTTAATAGAGTTAATTAATACCTTCATCTTAGGTTAGAAGTCTCTGATATCATTGGTTAAGGAGTAACGAGGGTGACAAATTAGTCATCGGCTGCGTTATAGGCAGCTTAGAAACAAACCCGTGCACACATATATATCATGCCAGCAAAGGTGACACAAGGATGACTGTTACCAAACGAAGCTTTTTGCGAGTCCCGTCACTCGGACAAATCCTTCTACAATATATAACCTGAGATTCTGAACTGTTGTAATGATTCTCCTGCCTGCTAGTCTGCTCATAGATGACGCCGGAGTCTTATTTGAGTGTGTTAATTTCGTCCAGGAGTGTAAAGGAAGTTTTGCTGGTGGCTGTACGTCAGTTGGGGTAACACGTACTTAATATGATGCAATTAGTAAACCTTAAATAGCATACACACGATGTTTGCAAAGTCCCTTGATGTTTTTGAAGTCTTTTAATGCTTGCGTTTACAAAGTCACCATGCCGTTTATGTTTATTAATTTCTTCATATTTGTAATAATTAGTCCTTTGGTTTTTATGCATGCAGTCCCTTAATGTTTGTTTACAGGTATCCCATGATTGTGTTTACATAAGTCCCCTGATGTGTATTTACAGAGAAATATTTATCCGTTATTTAACAGATATGTTATCAATAAATTTGATTACCTGTATCATATTTTCGGATTATAATATTATTATTATCTTCGTATATTATATTTTGCAGACGTGGTGTTTGAACTAATCTAAGCTAATCATCTTAAGTTACATTTTAATTGTACTGTATTTCATCGCGAGAGAAGGAGACATACAACGCACCACCTCCCTGTGTACACTACCGGAAATTACCCCTTTCTCCTAAAATGTCATGAAATTCCACAGCTTTTGTGAAGCGAGCAGCTGGTGTATTACAGTGTGGATATTCTTTCTGTTTCTCAAAGTCAATAGTTCTCGGCGGTGATGTGTAGAAGTCAGTAAGTAGTTCACGGTGGTGATGTGTGGAAGTCAATAGTTCACGGTGGTGATGTGTGGAAGTCAATAGTTCACGGTGAAGTGTGGAAGTCAATAGTTCTCCGTGGTGATGTGTGGAAGTCAATAGTTCTCGGTGGTGAAGTGAGGAAGTCAATAGTTCTCGGTGGTGATGTGTGGAAGTCAATAGTTCTTGGTGGTGATGCGTGGAAGTCAATAATTCTCCGTGGTGATATGTGGCGACACGAAAAGGTCTGGCCACTGGTGAGTGGGTGACGCATCACACCAACCAGTGTTCCTGTTAGCGTTTGGGGTGGGGGAGGGGAGGACGTGGCTTCCAAAGCGCCCCCCACACACACACACGTTCCAAACACCGTACTGTGCCAATTTTGAACCCCTGATGTGACACTGTGAGGAAGCAGTTGGATTTATCTCACAGTTGTGAGATCCAACAGATACAGTTCCCTTCACTAGTGCGTTTACAGGGGCTCGTCATATGAACTTTCCACAAATAATTACATTGAGATATTTGTTTTAATATTGTTTTACCTTGATTCCATAGTATGTTTACTCTTGCACGTTCCCTTCTGTCGAATGTAAACAAACACAGGGTTGCCACACTGCACGAAATCTGATGAGCCCCTGTAAACGCACTAGTGAAGAGGACTGTACAACTTGCCGGTGGCCTCAACACACTCGGCCAACATAATATGTAATGGTGTAACATTGTGGTATGTCTTGCTGGTAATACAAAGTCTGTCAGTCACATTTTGACGTATGTGGAGAGCCTTAACACTAAAGCAAAACTGAGTAAATGAGTGTTGGTCAGAGCCAGAGTTGGTCATCCAGTTATTGTGACACTTCGCGCTAAGATCAACTGTCAGTCAGTTGCATGAACGTACACAATCACTCAAGCTATGGACCTGGTGAACCGTTCATAGGACATTATGTACACATTCTTTACTTCGCCATATGTCTATACTTTCCTGGTGTATGAACATTGGTAAAACAAGTGTTATTTTATACCAAGCTTATAACTTGTAAAGCACATGATATAAACGTGAAAGTTGGAATAAAGTTGTCAGGTTCAGAAGTTATATACAAATTGCAGCTGCTGCCATATGTTGGGCCGCGTCTTTACTCTAAACTGGCCTCCGTTTTTTACCACATAAACAACAGATGTGCACCAGTGGAACGGCGGCATGTGATTGACAGATACTAATTACCAATGGGAGACGAATCGTGAGGGAAAAAACGCACTAGAGCGAAAAAAATATATTTGTGGCCCAAAACAATGTTTTTGTCACATAAATTTTACATTATCGGCCATATTTGTTTGTCTTTGGTAGCAACTCGTCTTTCACTGTTTAGCAAATCAGCCAATCAGAGACTCTTTTTTCTGCTAGTCAATACCTATTGTCTATGTATATGACAACAGGGGCCAGTTTGGCGCGGAGCAGCCTGATGGGAGTCTCGCCAGGGAATACTTTTGTATATATAGTCATTTACAACGGCGATACGATGACTCCCTGGCTCCCCCCCCCCCATCCCCTCTATTGTCTTTCCTCCCCTAGAAAGTTCTCCTAATGTTTGACTTATTAAATTCAAGATATGATGACCATAAACACAGCTTGACAGTTTAAGGGTGACCACTACACCACAGCTTGACAGTTTAAGGGTGACCACTACACCACAGCTTGACAGTTTAAGGGTGACCACTACACCACAGCTTGACAGTTTAAGGGTGACCACTACACCACAGCTTGACAGTTTAAGGGTGACCAATACACCACAGCTTGACAGTTTAAGGGTGACCATTACACCACAGCTTGACAGTTTAAGGGTGATACACCACAGCTTGACAGTTTAAGGGTGACCACACCACAGCTTGACAGTTTAAGGGTGACCAATACACCACAGCTTGACAGTTTAGGGTGACCACTACACCACAGCTTGACAGTTTAAGGGTGACCACAATACACCACAGCTTGACAGTTTAAGGTGACCACTACACCACAGCTTGACAGTTTAAGGGTGACCACTACACCACAGCTTGACAGTTTAAGGGTGACCACCACCACAGCTTGACAGTTTAAGGGTGACCATTACACCACAGCTTGACAGTTTTATAGGGTCACAGGTTCATTATCCCTCCCTCCCTCCTGTGTCGACTCTTTGGGTTCAGTGACCATATAGTAAACCCTGCTCGTGACAGGTGAACCGCTGCGCTTAAAAGTAACACCATCAATGTTCCTCCACTGGTGAAAATTATGATTAGTTGTGGTGACGTCATACTAGTGAGGCTCGTTTGGTGTTGTGGAGTTGACTTAAGTTACCATCTTTTATTTTGTATCAATAATAATAATAATATAAAGTTGGGTTAAAGTGTTGTTGAATCACTATTGTCATCAGGTATACGTTGATTACCTCTACACCCCTCCCACACACACAGCACTTGTCTCAGTTGCAGTGTTTATCATGTTCACTGACTCAAAGTACGCAAACTTGTCTCAGTACTAACGAGGTGTCTGCACTATCCAGTTGTATATTTTAACATTAAAGATTTTTTCTACTTACTTATATTACTTATATTTATTTATATTTATTTAGTTTTTTCTCTTCATTCTCTAATTAGTTCATTCTTATTCTTACCACCATTCCTTACTTTTATTCTTCCTTTTCATTTATCTTATTTCTTGACATTATCATCCTTTACTCACATGTACTCGTTCACTTATTACTGGGAACTCCTTATCGTTAATATATTAGTTGGGGGAAATTTTAAAGATATACCGTGGGGAAACTTCACTTTGTGTCCCTACCATTAAAGGGAAAAAATACACTCCTAAAGCTTTTACCCGCCCCCGGCCCCACCCCCGCACATACTGCTTTTCGCCCGATCTTCTTCTTAACACAACCTAAGCCAAACAGAACTCCATAGTTGACATTGTCTTGTACCTGTAGGAGTATATTCTGAGAGCTAATCAGAATTTTCTTCCACAACACAAGCTCAAATTTCCTCTCTTTCCCTCTAGTTGTAACGGCTGGCTACCGTGGGCGTGTAGTAGATCCCGTGGTGTATGGGTGTGGGTGGTGGGCGTCCCTTTTCTTACATTATACTAACTAGGTGTGTATAATCACCTCACCTGTCTGAATATTATATTGTTTACAGGTGGTATATTCGACGCCAATAGTGTGGTACAGAAGATGGCCTTCAAGTACGCGGTGGATCTTGTCAACAGGGACCGCGACACACTCACTCGGTCTAGGCTGGTGGCCAAGATTGCTGACGTCCCTGTCGACGACTCCTTCCATGCTTCCAAGAAAGGTGTGTGTGTGTGTGTGTGTGTGTGTGTGTGTGTGTCTCTAGCTTTGCATGTCAGCTTTAGCTTTCTGTGCCAACTTAAACTTTCTGTGTCTACTTTAGTTTTTATGTCCACTATGTCAAATTCATGGCTATTTTATTTATTTCATTGTTAAACATAATTAATTTTCTTCTCAGGCAAAATCTTAAAAAAAAAAAAATAGATAAAAGTATTTGAATTAGCAGGGAAAGCGGCGCGAGTCCCATATCAACGAACAGCCAATCACATTCCATGATTCTGTGATGCCATGACTTCATCTCACCTCTGACTTGGCCTCTCTTGTTCGGCAGTGTGTGCGTTCTTGAAGGAAGGTGTGGCAGCCATCTTTGGCCCTCAGAGCGAGAACACCGCCAACCACATCCAGAGTATGTGTGACACTATGCGGGTACCTCATATCCAGACCCGCTGGGACTACAGACTTACCCGCAACGAGTATTCCATCAACCTTCCGCACCCACCCTCACTTGGCAAGGTAGGTGACCCAGGTGTACCCGGGTGGTGTTGTGGTAGTGGTGGGGTGGTGGGAGTTGTGGTAGTTGGGGGTTGTGGTGGTAGTTGGGGGTTGTGGTGGTAGTTGGGGTTGTGGTGGTGGTAGGGGAAGTGGTAGTTGGGGTTGTGATGGTAGTTGGGAGTGGTGGTAATGGTAAAGGGAGATGTGGTTGTAGTAGCAATGGGGACTGTGGTAGTAGTGGCAGTAGAGGAGGTGGGAGCGGTAGTGAGGATTATGGTGTGGGATGAGTAACGTCAGGCCAAGGATTCTATAGTATAGGAAGATGGCTCACTCCTAGGAAGCTGGCTCACCCAATGGGCGAACGGAGAAGTGTTAGCCAAAGGATTTGGTTAGATTAGATTAGGTTAATGTTATCTTAGAATAGGTTAATATCGCCGGATTAGGTGAGATTAGATTGAGTTAGGTTAGTTTAGCGTTAGGATAGGTTAGCTATGAGCCGCTTGTTTAATCATCAGGTGAAATAAGCTGGGGATGCGTAATCTTCACATGTTCCATCCACTGTTAATTAAGGTCTCACCTGTGTGTTCCTCTGTAGGCTTACTACGACATTATCTTCAAACTTCAGTGGAGAAACTTCGTCATCTTGTACGACAGTGTTGAAGGTTTGGTACGACTAAACCAACTATCAAAGAAGTGGACGGTGACAATGAGGCAGCTACCTGAAGGAGACGACTACAGGTATGACCTCTAGGGACTCAGGGAGTGATTATAGAAACTGTAATAGAATCTAAAAAAGCAGTAGTAGTAGTAGTAGTAGTAGTAGTAGTCAAGCATCGTTGGAACTACCTGATGCGTACTATCCCTGATATCGGACCCCTCCTCCACCCTCTGGAAGAAGTTATCAGTGTCAATTTCATTCCTAAATTAGTGAAACACCCTGACTTAACCCCAGCAGAAAGAGCACTTCTTGCACTTCCATCAAGACTGGGAGGGCTGGGACTGACAAATCCAGAGGAGATTGCTGCCACTGAACATCAAAATTCACTTAAGCTCACGGCAGCCCTCACGGACCACATAATAGCCCAGAATGCAACAGGGGAAGTGGACACCAGTGAAGTAAATAAGATTCGTAGGTCCATTACGACAGATCGACAGCACAGCCAAAATGATAAGTTGCAGCAACTGTTGCTGCAGGTACCAGAAAATTTGAAAAAAAAGGTAGCTATAGCGCAGGAGGTGGGCGCCTCGAACTGGTTAACTACATTACCGATAAGGGCAAATGGTTTCAGTCTTAATAAACAAGAATTTACAGATGCCATTGCTCTAAGATACGGTCGGCCAGTAGAAGGTTTGCCCTCCCAATGCGTGTGTAGCTCTTCCTTTGATGGCGATCACGCCATGGTGTGCAAGAAGGGGGGCTTCATATGCATGAGGCATGACGAGGTAAGGGACCTCACAGCAAATATGTTGAAGGAACTCTGCCGGGATGTCTTGGTAGAACCGACCCTCCTTCCATTGGATGGTGAGATCTTCCAACACAGGACTTCAAACACATCTAACGAAGCCCGTGTGGACGTCAGTGCTCGAGGATTCTGGACGCGGGGACAGCGAGCTTTCTTCGACATCAGGATTTTTGATCCCATGGCCGCATGTCACCGTATCCTAGCTCTCGATGCTGCACATAGGAGGAACGAGAACGACAAGAGAAGGGCATATGGGGAGAGAATTCAAAACGTTGATCAAGGCAGCTTCACTCCTCTAGTGTTCACAACCTCTGGTGGGATGGGACCAAGTGCAAGATGTTTCTACGCCAGACTCGCGGAGGTGATCTCCGAACAGAAGCAGCAGCCCAGAAGTCATGTTACAGCCTGGATGAGATGTCGACTGTGTTTCTCTCTCCTTCGGTCGGCTTTGCTCTGCCTCAGGGGAACGAGAGCTTCTGCCCCAACTCCGACAACTGCTGCAGATATTGACTATGAGGCTACTGTCACTGAATGCCACATAGATCTGCGGCTCAACTAATTTAACACAGATAGGATAGCTACTTATGTATTAGGAAATTTAATATTAAGGTAATTAAATGGTGGCGAAGGTGTGACTATTGGGGGAGGCTGGAGGCCACGTTTCTAAAAAAAAAAAAAGTAGTAGTAGTAGTAGTCATGTGAACTATTAGGTCAGAACTACAAGAACAACCACACTGGCATTATTCTGATTGACAACTTAACTTACGAACTCTTGAGCATCACATAACAGTATCTTTGATAATATAACACCGACTTGACTGTTTATCGTGATCAACATAACTGTATGATCCTCTCTCTCGCACCTCTCAAGGCCGCTACTGAAGGATATTCGAAGATTCAAAACAACTCACTTCGTACTGGATGTTGCTCAGGACAAAGTCTATGAGGTGTTACGTCAGGCAGCCCAGATCGGCCTCATGCGAGTGTACGACAACTACTTCATTACCTCCTTGGTCAGTACGATAACTGCTTGTGTTCTGAGATAGATAGATAGAAAGATAGATAGATTGAACACAATTTACTCGCTGTGTGGCGGAGTCACGATTGTATTGTGCCCTCCTTTCGATCCACAGGACTTCAACCTGATCAACTTAGAGGAGTTCAAGGACAGCGGGACCAACATTACAGGTATCCAGCTGGTAGATCCTCATAAACCTGAATTAAAGAAGCTGATCGATGACTGGGTGATTGGCGAACAACGCGCTGGATGGGTACTGCCACTCCAAATGAGGAGAATGACGGTATGGTGGGCTGGGGCAGGGCTATAAGGTGGACTGAAGAAGATGAGAAGGCTGGGGGAGGGTAGGTTGGGGTGTGGGTGTGTAAAAAATCTTGTTGGGGAACTCATCAACCCGGCTTGGGTCACTTTGGTATTCCCTGTACTGTACTGTTCCTTCAATTAAAGGATTACACAAAAGTCCTTAACCTATAAGAAATTCAACAAAAACTGGATCCAAAAATATACCATCTTAATTATGCATTGTAAAGAATTATTGTGCGTTACTGTATATAGCTCAGATACAGGAAGGACACTATAGTACGTGTTGTGTTGTGGGCAGACGGAGGCGGCGCTCATGTACGATGCTGTGACGCTCTTTGCTAAGACGCTTCATGACTTACGGGAAGCTGTTGAAATCCCAAGGCTACACTGCGAGAGTGACAACTCCTGGCAACACGGCAACTCCATCATCACTGACATGAAGTGGGTGAGTCTATCTTATGACACCTTTCTAAAGAAACCCAGTTAGCTTTATGTTACTATTAATTGTCCTATATCTTTATTCTGTCTTATTCTGATGTTAAATACGGTTTACCTACAGTACAGTTGGTACGCACCCAGCACCGACTCTGGGGGAGGCAACGTCTTCACTCCTAATCAACTTTCCTACCGTAAAGTTGACGGCATCACTGGGTTTATCAAGTTCAACACGGAAGGGTTCAGGTCTGACTTTAACCTGGATATCCTGGAGATGGGCCAGAATGCGATCTTGCAGAAGGTAAGAGATTTTCGTGTGGACGGAACCTTCTGGAAGTGTTACACCGCGATTGATCAACACGACCTCAACCTTCATGATGGGTAACACTATGTACAGTCCATATAAAACAAAACAAAGAAAAAAAACACTCTGAAACATCGGGCGAACACTAACAACATATTACTGTTGTGTATTGGTAGACCTGCTCCTCTTGTAAAGTAGTGCTACTATAAGAGCATTTCACGATAATTCCACATGTCTTCCCACTTTACACATATATGTGAACAAATAACACCACCATCGAACAAACATAAATTAACACCCATTACAATAATGAATACCTAGCTAGCTTAGCTTCCCTCCCCTCCACCTTCCTCCCTTGAGCGGGCGGGCGTGTGCTGCGTGCGGCCACCACCCCAACATTTCAACTCGTCTCCGCTAGGTGGACAGCCCACCTGCTATCTACCCCTCCCACTTTTCTTCCCGTTTCTATGCTTTACTTCTCTCTCTCTCCTCTCCTTTCCCAGTGCAAAGTCATTTGCCACTTTACTTCATTATCATCATCATCATCCACATGTCTTCTGTCCCTATGTATTACAACCTCAGTTCACCTTTCTTTCTCTTTCCCTTCATTACTGTACAGATGATATCGTCAGCCCTTAATGCATTTGCTGAACATCCATTCCTCTCTGTTTTCAACCTACAGTGGCATAGTGGCATACTATTTAACTACTTGGTTTATTCTGATGAATTTTGGTGGACCTATTGGCTCTGTGTTATGGCTGAACTTTGACTTGGCTACCTGACTCACCTTTGACCTTGTTCAACCTCAGGTGGGGACGTGGACGCTCACAGGTAAAGCCAACTTCACGAGGACGTGGCAGCAGACGGAGGACGCTGTGGAGCTTAACCTTCAGAACAGGACTCTCATCGTCACTACTGCAATAGTATGTGTGTGTGTGTGTGTGTGTGTGTGTGTGTGTGTGTGTGTGTGTGTGTGTGTGTGTGTGTGTGCGCGTTTTGCGTGAGAGAGAGAACAATATTGTCTACAAATTCTTCCTCTTGTTAATCTGTTCTTTCAGCTAACATCCTTCATACATGAGCTTCTCTCATACTAGACCTACAACCTACCTGCCTGCCTCCTCTCCTCCCATACTAGACCTGTAACCTACCTGCCTGTCTCCTATACTAGACCTGTAACCTACCTGCCTCCTCCCCTCCCATACTAGACCTATAACCTACCTGCTTTTCTCCTCTCATACTAGACCTGTAAACTACCTGCCTCCTCCTCCTACAGACACCGCCCTACGTCATGCTGAAAGATGACCATGAACAACGCAAGGGCAACGACAAGTTTGAAGGGTTCTGTTTTGACCTCATCCACGAGATCTCACTCCTCAGGGGCTTCAACTACACCTTCAAGAAGGTTGAAGACGACTCGTATGGCAGCAAGAACAGAGAGACCGGGGAGTGGGACGGTATCGTCAGGGAGCTCCTCGACCACGTACGTCCAGGGTCACTGTCATGGATTATCGGGTCATTCACACAGAACTGTCACTCATACACAAAGATGTCACTCTCACCCAAGATGTCACTCAATCAAAGATGTCACTCTCACACAAAGATAGTCACTCTCACTCAAAGATGTCATTTATACACAAAGATGTCACTCTCACTCAAAGATGTCATTTATACACAAAGATGTCACTCTCACTCAAAGATGTCATTTATACACAAAGATGTTACTCTCACACAAAGATGTCACTCATACTCAAATGTCATGCATTCAAAGATGTCATACACTCAAAGATGACACAATCAAATATGTTACTCTGACACAAGGATGTCACTCTTACACAAAGATGTCACACAAAGATGTCACCTTCACGCCACATTAACTAGGTCACAGTATACAGGAAGTCATTTTGTTAATTTCAGAAAGCTGACCAAAGTATCGTTGACCTCACCATCACTTACGAGAGAGAGGAGGCAGTTGACTTCAGTATGCCTTTCATGAACCTGGGTGATTACTGCTGATCCTTGACGTTTGACTACTGCTGATTCTTGACCATTGAGTACTGCTGATCCTTGACCATTGAGTACTGCTGATTCTTGACCATTGAGTACTGCTGATCCTTGACCATTGAGTACTGCTGATCCTTGACCATTGATTACTGCTCATTCTTGACCTTTGAATACAGCTGATCCTTGACCTTTGACTACTGCTGATTCTTGACCTTTGAGTACTGCTGATCCTTGACCTTTGAGTACTGCTGATCCTTGACCTTTGAGTACTACTGATCCTTGACCTTTGAGTACTGCTGATTCTTGACTTGACCTCTTAAGTTCTGCTGATCCCCTCCTCCTAGTGACAGGCCTGGCACTTGACATTATTAGGGACCTGCCACGCTTTGCCATAAACAGATGAAATGTACCGGGAACTTTCCCCCCACACACTCATCATTCTGTCACTTTATGTAACTTGCTGACAAAACCTATGACCCTTCAGGCTTTTACGCCCTTAATGCATGAGTCATAAAGGCAAGCATAAACTTAGCATGCTTCCCTGATGGGTGCTGTAAACGCTTCTGCGCTTCACCTTGCATAGGATGTAAGGGGGTGCCCAATAAACTAGCCCCCTCGTGGGCAATGTAAAAAAAAATCTTGAGTCTTGATCTCTTAAGTTCTGCCGATCATTGTTGTTCGTGTGGCAGGTATCAACAGGTAGTAACATAATGTTCTTGGCAGGTATCAACAGGTAGTAACATAATGTTCTTGGCAGGTATCAACAGGTAGTAACATAATATTCTTGGCAGGTATCAACAGGTAGTAACATAATGTTCTTGGCAGGTATCAACAGGTAGTAACATAATGTTCTTGGCAGGTATCAACAGGTAGTAACATAATATTCTTGGCAGTATCAATAGGTAATGCCAGGTAGTAACATAATGTTCTTGGCAGGTATCAACAGGTAGTAACATAATGTTCTTGGCAGGTATCAACAGGTAGTAACATAATGTTCTTGGCAGGTATCAACAGGTAGTAACATAATGTTCTTGGCAGGTATCAACAGGTAGTAACATAATATTCTTGGCAGGTATTAGCATCATCTACAAAAAGCCTCAGAAGAAGTCGCCCAGCTTGTTCTCGTTCATGTCGCCCTTTTCTGCGGACGTGTGGATCTACATGGCTACCGCCTACCTGGGTGTGTCCGTACTGCTGTTTATCCTGGCCAGGTAAGGTCTTGTTCTTTATTAATATGGCCACGAGCAGGTAACTCCAGGTGACTTCTACACCAAATTGGGATAAATGTTCAAGTTTAGCTTAGGCTGAGTTAGGTTGGATTAGGTTAGGTGAGGTTAGGTTAAATCATGTTTGGATCGGTAAGGTAAGATTAAGTTAAGTTAGACTATGTTATCTTAGGCTAGGTTAAGATAGAACTGACATTTGTATTCAAGATAATATACTTATTTTATTTCTAAGTAAAAACATACAATTTTTGAAATGAAATTATATACCTGTACATTTAATTTATGAAACAGTTAATATATTGTATCTGCAATATATTGTATATTTTATGTGTTCTTAACTTATACTTTCACCTTAATATTTGTGAATTTTAGTAAAGAAGAAAAAATAGTGTAGTTTCTGGGTGTTGTAATAGGCTCTCAGTGGCCTTAGAGCCCCCATGTGTTGAAGAGAGAGAGACAGACAGACGGACAGAGGGAGACAGACAAACAAACAGGCATACACACGGAGGAAGAGACATAGAGAGAGAATTATGAAAGTATCATCTCTTACGACGCCCAAAAATACCTTTTAGAGAAAGTGTGTATGAGAGAGAGAGAGAGAGAGAGAGAGAGAGAGAGCAGCACGGGTTACTCTCTTTCTATTTCTCTCCCTCCCAGGTATCAGGTAGGTTTATTCATCAATATAACAACTGCTGGTAAACATCATAAAATTTTAGCATCTTCACTACCTATTGAAAGATCTAATTTATCTTAATTATCATAGAACATAAGGTATAAGAACATATAATTCCCCCCCCGGCCTAGTGTGACTATATCATACGGGTGTTGTCAGGGGTAAGATGAGATGCTTGAACGAAAGGCCATCACTGTTGAGGTAAGCCCCTTGACTAGACCTGACCTGACCTAACCTGACTCTGACATGATACAGGATGGCGCCGGATGAGTGGGATTGTCCGTACCCGTGTATCGAGGAACCGGAGGAGTTAGAGAACAGCTTTACGCTCCTTAACTCCATGTGGTTTATCATTGGCACGTTCTTGTGTCAGGGTGCCGACATTGCCCCCAAGTATGGCTCTTAACACCCTCTTGGATTTTCTTAACCCTCTTCACACCCTCGTAGATCACACAGGGGCGCATCCTTAACCACAACCTCAACACTACTCAAAGGAATCTCTCTCTTGTGTTAGAATGTTAAGCAAAATCCCCTCTGCGACGACAAAAGCTTACTGAATATGTAATGAGATCGTGAGCAAGTAGGACTTCCAGTGACTTAATAATAATAAGATAGTGTGGGTAAACAAACACTGTACATAAGATAGTGTGGGTAAACAAACACTGTACATAAGACAGTGCAGGTATACAAACAGTGTTCCTAGACAGTGCAGATACACAAACAACGGTAAACAGTAAGTAGCTTCGAGTGTTAACTATGAACACTAGACTGTGCTCGACTCACTGGATAGTCATAGATCTAGTATACTGTACCTGCATTGTCTGTGTACATGATAATTGCTCACTGCACAGCGTTCTAACACAGGGATTCTCTCCTACATCCACACCACCACCAGTGCTGGGTATCTCTCTCTTTCGCTTACTCAAGGATTTCAGTAAGACCTTCTTCTGAAACACGGATGCTCCCCTGTGTGCCAACTTTAGTATCTCGGTGTTCTCGGTATCAAGTAGTGAAGTCTGCTTTTAGATTTTTTTTAAGTTCGGCTTCTTATATTTCTCACGCTTCTTCAGCTAGAGCAGTGCATCACGTCATATATTATGGTTTTATTACTGTAGTGTGATCATCTTTTACTCTATTAATAAATTAACTGTATTTTTTTATGTAGTAGTCACAGTAGTTGCTAACATTAACTTATTTTACAGGAGGAAGCTTGAACAAACTCTTATGTTGATATATCTCGTGTCGACTCAGGTGTGGGTGTTAGTGTCGTGTTTCACTTAATCTGATTTCTACTGACAGTTTTTAGTTATAACTGTACTGGAGGGCTGTCAGTTACCTCGGGGGATTCTATTTGACAGTTTTTGGTGCCTTAGAAAAATGTATACACACGGCCATACAGATTGTCATTGAGGTTGCGGGAATGCTTGTAGAGTATTGCTATTACAACAACAACATTGTCCTTTGTAAGGTATAGTGTGGATGCAATTTTTGAGACACTGTACTGTATAATAGGAGATAAATTTATCCGCGAAAGTTTTTTAGGGTGTTGGACTGTCTCTAGAATATGATACTCGAAGACTTATGATGCCTTTCTCCTTAACTATGGTGTGGCCTCGAGGGTGTGGCACTAAGGGTAGGGGTGTGGCATTAATGGTGTGACACTAAGGGTATCATCAAGAGTGTGGCAGTAGTGATGGCAGCTGAGGGTCTCACTAACAGGATGACGCCGGAGGAGTGGCAGAACCCGTACCCCTGTGTGGAGGAACCCGAGGAGCTGGAGAACTGCTTCACGCTAGTTAACTCTCTATGGTTTATTATCGCCACATTCCTCTGCCAGGGTGCTGATATTGCTCCTAGGTAGGCCTCACATACATACACACACACACACACACCCACACACACACACACACATCCACACACACACACACACACACACACACACACACACATATTCGTGTAAGAATCCACAACAATCTGGGTTTTTATTTTTTATTCGTATGCCAATTTTGCAAACAACTTTCCGGAATGTTTCGTTTTTTATGATTCCTTCTTCCTCTTCTGTGATAATTATTCAGTCCTTTTATTGGATTTTTTCCTTCTTAAAAAGGCTGTTTATGAATCGACAGTCGGCAAGTGGGCGTGTTACCTTGTGTTCACCAGTTTGTGAGGTCTGGCGGCAGTGAATGAGTGTTTGTTTTGTTCTTTTGTTCCTCTGCATCTCTTTGTTTTGTTTGTTTGTTTGTGACCTGTTTTATGAACATCCTCTATTTGTTTCCTTGTTTAGTTTACCATGAGTGTGTGCTCAAAAGAGTGCCATTATAATGATTCACTATATTATCCCCCATAAGTGGAGCCTTCACAAGATGTTGGTCCTCACTGTGTCGTATCCCCACATTGTTTATGACCAGAACCAACACAGGTAAACAGCACTCCATTGTTCGAGACCATTTCGGTGCTGGAATGTCTTACCTTGAGTTGAGTGTTCAGGAAAATACCTTTACTTGCAGGGCTGACAGTGACGTTACTGTTGATGTGTTCAAAGCTGATTAGCACTACTATAGCACAACTGTTTACACCTCTGGCACCAGCACCATTTACCCCCCTCCCTGTGTTATGACTCCCGGAAGTTCAGATTCACTTTAATGTTGGAATAGGTAATGAGGACCAGCTAGGAGGAGGAGGAGCAGCAAAAATTTACACCTTCAAGGGTCGAACACATCACTGGTTGACCTTCTTCATATTACTGTAAAATGCTGTGTTTTTATTTTTATTTAACAGCTTCCTTGATTTGTTTCAGTTTTGCTCGTTACATGCATGGTAAGGAGCGTGGTGCATGGTAAGGAGCGTGGTGCATGGTAAGGAGCGTGGTGCATGGTAATGGGAGCGTGGTGCATGGTAAGGAGCGTGGTGTATGGTAAGGAGCGTGGTGCATGGTAAGGAGCGTGGTGCATGGTAAGGAGCGTGGTGCATGGTAAGGAGCGTGGTGCATGGTAAGGAGCGTGGTGCATGGTAAGGAGCGTGGTGCATGGTAAGGAGCGTGGTGTATGACGTGTGTGTGTGTGTGTGTTCATGGACATTTCGTGCCTGTTGTGTTGCAGAAAATTTATACCACAAAAGTTTATTTCTGTGACTCGAAGTAACTGGCCATTGCTGTTTATTTTGTTGTATTTATTTATTAGATAAGAAAATACATTAAATATTCTATTTTTTATAATGAATTAGAAGTTGTGAGGTCAATTGATTTATTTGTCTGTGATAATTGTGTTGTGTTAATCATCACTGAGAATAATTACCTTGTTACGTCATTGATTACATTAACGCACCTCATTATTTTACCCCTTAAGGAAGTTTAGTGGTAATCGCACATGTATGTTTGTATGTCTGTCATAAGTTGCTTATTAATACTTGATTTCTTCTCTTTCTCGTTTCCTTACTCCTTCTTTCTCTGTCATCTACTTTCTACCACGTACATCTACCATACACCTCGACTTCTATCAAACTTCATGTACACCATCACTCGTGTGTACGTGGGTTGTGTGCACCAGAGCTGTGTCAACACGCATCGTGGCCAGCATATGGTGGTTCTTCACACTCATCATGATTTCGTCCTACACCGCCAACCTGGCCGCCTTCCTCACCGTCGAGAGGATGGACTCACCAGTGGAGAGCGCCGAGGACTTGGCCAAGCAGACCAAGATTAAGTATGGCTGCAAGATGGGCGGCTCAACCTACTCCTTCTTCAGGTAGGTCCTTCCTGAGATGGTGAGTTTTGTCTCTGGATTCTTATAATCCTTCAAGTACAGTAAGGTGTCCCTCGATCCTTTTGAGTCTTCTTCAGGAATATCCGTCTCTGTTAAGACTCTTACTGTACTGGCCCAGAAGGAGTGTGTTATGTAACTGATGTGTGAAGCTGACGTGTATGTGGCGTTCATAGACAAATAGACCCCAGTACAGGTGTGTGTATGTGTGTGTGTGTGTGTGTGTGTGCACATAAAAATCCCGAAAGGCCTGAATTCATTGTGTCTTTGAACTTTGAGACCTGTAAGTCAGGACCAAGTATGGCTGAGCTTGTTAACATCATTCCTTACATTAGCAGACAGACAGGCAGACATGATCAAAACGAAAAATATTTTGAAACCCTTAACCTCTGACTTCCCCAACAGGGATAGCAGCATCCCGACCTATCAGAGGATGTGGTCGGCCATGTCCAACGCTCGCCCCACGGTGTTCACGAAGAGTAACGATGCGGGCGTGGAGCGAGTCTCTAAGTCAGACGGCCAGTACGCCTTTCTCATGGAGTCTAGCTCTATCGAGTATGTTGTGGAGAGGAAGTGTGAGCTGACCCAGGTGGGCGGTCTCCTCGACTCGAAGAGCTACGGCATCGCCCTCCCTCCAAGTGAGTGTGTGGAGGTGTTCTAAATGCAGTATTTTATATATAATTTTACTCCTTATCAGCCTATCGACCGGTTGGTCTGTTCTTTGTTATTAACTTGACTGCCTAGGAGATAACCTGCGATGCTTGGTAGGGTTACACGAGATAACATCCTTCCCACAAGTATGTCCTCGAGCCCAGAATACAAGAGTGAGAGATACGCCCGTTACCGCTGTACCATCAACACCTCCTAAAATAGTTCTCCTTTGTAGGAGAATTCACCGTGGCCCGTAAGGGGATCGAACCCTCGACATCCGCGTTATTAGCACGGCGCTCTAACCAACTGAGCTAACAGGCCAGTAATGTATATGTTAAGTGGAGGCAGGTACATCTTGCAAGTCCAGATATGCAAACTCGATGTTTGAATGACGACTCGTGATCTTTGGTTGGTCCTGATTTATTGTCCTTGATCGAAGCAGGATTTGATTTCTTGTTCTTTTCAGTATTTATTTAGTTTTCTCTCAGAGGGTTCTCTCTAATGGGCTTCCACAGCATTTTAGATATCAACTATCCTCTAGAGTCTAGAGTCTAGAGGGTAAACTGGTGTGGTCACATCTTCGTATTAGATCTGATCTCTCAACCTCTGGTACCATGTTTGTTTGTCGTCTTTGCACATTTGCTAATGCGATTAAGTCTTTATTCCTTAATGCACTACACATTGATAGTGACTACTCCACCTTTGGTTTCACTAATGTCTTATAGAACCGTTTGATGTTGTTCTTGAAATCCCTAAAAGACCATCTGATTATTCCCATCAACTTATTTTCCGTGTTTAATTTTCCTGGATATGTGCCTCAATAGTGTGTCATCCACCACTCGTCCTAGGTCCTTCTAAGGACACATACAAGCACATTTGTAATATAGTAATATCCACTGTTTGACCTCGTGTGGATATTCATTATTTACCGGTGTAAAATCGTAATAACCATTAATCTGTTCATTTTTTAAGCTTAAAGGTATTCCATTGAAGGACGTATCCACCATGGCCCGTAAGGGTATCAAACCCTCGACATCAGCGTTATTAGCAAGGCGCTCTTACCAACTGAGCTAACAAGCCATATATCTTCTATAATTGTTATTTTCTTTGCCACTGATCGGCCTGTTCGTCGCTTGAGCGGTTGGTCACGTCTTTGTTACACACTGTTGTTAAGCAATAGAAATGTGTTGGTCAAGTCTTATACGCTCACGGTGGATGCCGTCACAACACACTCTAGTAGATTGTTCCAAGAGTTCACAATTTGTCCTGACAATCTTCTGAAGTACAGCTTCTTTAAGCTGTGGCCCTGCTATTATTTTGGTTATGTTGTTCTTAATCCAAGTTAAAGGTATATAGAAACTCAGAAGTAGCCACATCAGGAGGAGGTTTATCTTCGTCATCAAAGGTGTCGAGTGTTGTGTGTAACGGGTGGACGTTGACACCTCCTATACCTGCAGATGTGTGACGCTTCTCCTTCAACACTCCACACTCACCGTGAGCCTTCCACAGCGTCCTGGTAACTTTTTCCATCCTAAGACTCACCACAACACCATTGTTTAGCACCACCATCTGGTAAACACCCAGAGTGTCTGCAACTATTACCAACGATGGCACTTTAACTGGTGGTGTTAAGAAGGGGATTACCTGAAGATTAGCTCCCCCATCTTATTTTATGTTAAGGCTAGCTATCCTATGGCTAACAAAACCTAACTCCTCAGGTAGATATAAGATGGTTAATTTTAAGCTGAAATAAACTTGGGGTAGTTAAACTTCAGGTGATTCTAAGAAGAAAACTGAGAAAAGGGGGAAAATTACAACAACAAAACTGTTATAGTGATCAATGAAAGATCAGGTCTCGACAACCCGTGTATTAAACAGTGTTAAAACAAACGCAGATAAATATGGGTGGGGTTCTCCTATCGCATTTTCATCACAGGGATATATTTTTTTCTTTATTATATGCATTTCCTAATTCATTTATGATGTATGCGAATCGTGAAGCGTTGTTCAGTAAAAGGTGGTGTTAGTTGTGTGATAGTTATATAACGGCTACCAAGCATGTATACCTTCTCTTCTCTTTTTACTTTTACTTTTATGTGTTAGAGAAGACTCTAAGGTGGTCAACAGTGTACCATCTTACAGATTCACCGTACACGGGGGCAATCAGCTCTGCGGTGTTGAAGCTGAAAGAATCTGGCAAGTTATATATACTGAAGACGCAGTGGTGGAAAAAAGGCAAGGGAAACGGGAATTGTCAGGTAAGTGCACTACTGACAGTTCTAGTTAAATGGAGCCATCATAGTGACAAGATATTAAAGGAAGAAGGGCTTAGAATGTGTTTGGAGAAGTTTAGATCACAAGAAGAAAGTACCACAAATACATTCAAATTTTTCTGTTGTAGATAGTCTAGAAAAGATATCCCTTGAAATCATCGTTCTCTTTGTCCTAATGTGCTTGGGATAACTTTGCTAGGTTGAGTATAATAGTAAAATTGCCAATGTAAAGAAAGTTCCACGAATAGAACGCTTAACCATTTACCTTGTTTCAAAGCGTACAACACGAACCAACCAAACCTTTCTAAAACCAACTTGTGATTATCAATTTTGGTTACGTTATGTTGGTTCATGTCATCAGGAAAATAAATAGTTGAGCGCTTCTGTTGGTTGTACTGAAAAAAAGTGGTTGCCTTTATTTTGGGTTGTGTAGTCTTCCTTGATGGTGAGCAAAGTTGTTTAGGGCTCTGGTTGTGGTGGTCAGGGCAAGTGCTTAGCCAAGCCGATAATTAACCATCTTTGGTATAACTTATTTGAACCCGCCAGGACTCGAACCCACGGCCCACGAGCCCATGACTGTGACCGGGGAACGCTACCTCTGGACCACCAGGATACTAAAAGCAGTTCTAGGCTCTGTATTCCCTATTAGAGGTTCACGGCGCCATAAGCTCGTTGAACAAGCTTGTGTGAAATATAACAGAGCCTAGAACTGATTTTAGTATCCTGTTGGTCCAGAGGTAGCGTTCCCTGGTCACGCTCGTGGGCCGTGGGTTCGAGTCCTGGCGGGTTGAGTTGTTGATTGTATGTAGAAGTCCGCGTGCTTTATTGGGCTAATGAAATATATATATATATATATATATATATATATATATATATATATATATATATATATATATATATATATATATATATATGCTGATAACCACAAGGAAAAAAGAAAACACGAAGTGTTTTCTTTTTTCCTTGTGATTATCAGCATATACATGGATCACGCGCACCTATAGTGATTTACTTGCATATATATCATAAAGTGGTCTCTGATCATAGTTGAAATATTAGTAGTGAGGCGAATTTATTTTAGGGGGTTGTAGTTTATATATGTGCTGTATGTATGTGTGTGGTGGTGTATGTTTGAGAGAGAGAGAGAGAGAGACTAGTAATATAGAATAATCCACAAATTCCCGCACATGAACCATCACTCTAACTTCCCATTAATTCCCAGATCATCGCACTCTAAAAATGAAATATATACAGTATACTTTTCTTAAAGACTTTTCGCTTCTGGCAATCTCGTCTGTACTTCTACCACTTTGTGTGTGACTTACTAAGAGTTGCGTAGACAATCTGGCATTCAGATTTAAGTTAGATTCTCGGTAGATCGTAGATACATTTACTCGTAGCGTATGATGACCTTTGCCATCAAAAAAACTAACGCACTCGTAGAACTGTTTGAGAAACCAACGCTGATGAGAAAGACAGTAGGAAGCGGATTGGCGTAGTTTTAGAAAGTTTGGTAATGCATAACCCCTACAAGAAGGTGTCTGTTGCTGCTGTGTGCCAGTTTCTCTGTGTTGTGAGGGAAACACCTACCCGAGAACTCTGTGTTGTGAGAGAACTACCTATACTTGAGAACTCTCACATGTAGAACATCTCAAAAGTTAGCGGAGAACCCAAAGATGATCCAACACAAGACCCAGGGAAGACTCTAGTACAAGACCCAAGGAAGACCCCAGTACAGGACTCAATGAAGACCCCGGTACAAGTCCCAAGGATGACCCCAGTACAAGACCCAATAAAGACCCCATTACAGGACCCAATGAAGACCTCCAGTACAGGATCCAAGACTCGAAAGCCTGGAGGAGAACCCGAATACAGGATCCCAAGGAAGACGTCAGTACAGGACCCAAGAGGGAAACGCCACTACTCCACTGCACTTCTGATATGGGGACACCTTAGCTGCTCCCTTACTCTCTCACTAACTCCTTTATCCTCACTAACTTCATTACTCTCACTAACTCCCTTACTCTCACTAACTTCATTACTCTCACTAACTCCATCTCTAACTCTCTCACTAACTCCCTTACTCTCACTAACTCACTCTCTCAGGATCTCGCTAACTTTCATTTTCTGGTCTTCTCTAAGTTTCATTCTTTGGCTTCTACACATTCCAAACCTCACCATTTAAACTCTATAACATTCTCTTGTGCCCTTTTCCCATGAACACTGTGCACTCCACGTACACTATGCAATCCTGCCACCCTCGGCTGTTCTGTACAGTACACTGCTGCCACGAGTTCAGTCTAGCCTGTAATAGTCTATTTTCTAATGCGGTAGATTTTCAACCCTGCTTTCTCCATCTTGTTTTGTCTATAGAAATCCTTAAGAACTTTTAAAAAGAACTCCTTGGGAACTCTCCTACTCTCCTCCGCATCCTTGTGGTGATCTTGAACTAAGTTCCATCGCCTGCCGCGTTGCTTGTTGGCTTTAAGTGTGTGCATGTTTGTTTATGTTTATATATATATCTGTTTGTGTGGTGCGTGTGTTTCTGTTTGTGTATATCTGTATGTGAGTGTGTGTATTTTTCTTTTTGTGTATCTGTGAGTACGCATGTGTGGATCTTTTATATGTTCTAACCCTGAGGATCGTCCACTACTGCATGTGTACACTGGACTTGATCAATGTGTTTGTGTTTGTATTCGATAATTGAAGTTTTAAACACGAATTAAAGATAAATTACGAAAAACAAACAATAAAGTAATTTAAATGATATATCAGATTGTATCATAATGTTAAACAACGAATATCAGTTATTGAATATTAACCCAGACTTTTAGACATTGATTTTGATACGTCATAATTTCTGTGTTTATTTCTTGGCGATGCTTCCTCATACTACAGCATCACCCTTTTAACTACCACAGCAGCACCTCGCCTCTGACCACTCTGTGTACATAAATTGGTAAACACACACACACACACACACACAGTCTACAACCTCGCTAATTTTTTTAACCCATTTCCAGTTTCAGTGCTTCAGTTGTTACTATTAAAACAAAATACAGGGGAATTTTTATCGCCATCATCAGTCCCCAGTACCACTCCTGTTAGCTGCCATCACCATCATCAGCCTCCATGAGTAGTGCCACATCCCCAGCACACCACAACTCTTCAGTACCCCAAGGCCAGCCTTAATCTTTATATTCCTGGGTGTAGAGTGAGGTGTCGTCCAAAATCCCAGCACTTACCTAAATCTCCATCACCTCTTTTATACCTCCAAATACCTGCATTACCTCCTCAGATCCCCAACACCTCCCTTAACCCCTCCCAGTACCCCAACACCTACTATACTATACCCTAGTGCCTCCCCAACTCATCTCTAACGTCCCCATCACCTCCCCGAGCACTCCTCCAGCACCCCAGCAGCACACACTAAGGTGTTATCCCCGGGTGTAGAGAGAGGCGTCGTCTGCCAAGTCCAGTAGCGCGGCGGAGTTGGGTCTGGCCAACGTGGGCGGTGTGTTCGTGGTGCTTATAGGAGGGCTGGGCATCGCCACCTTCATGGCCGCCTGCGAGTTTATGTGGAACGCTAGAGAACTGGCTACTGACGAGAGAGTGAGTACCCAACAACACTTAATTTCTATGTGTTTAGAGAGTGAAACTTGGCGTAACTTCTAACCAAATCTAACTTAATTTAACTTAATATCTGTGTATTTTGAACTTAAGAGTGCGACACTAGGAATGGCTAATAACATAATATAACTCCATGTAATAAGTTAACACAGACGTAACCAGATCAGCACCTGAGGAGCCTTGAGCCGTGGTACTGTAGGGAAGCCAGTAGTTTTGTGTGGCCTAGTATTATTTTCTTATACACACACAGGTTCCAAGAGCAGTACCGTAACTTGGCAACTTCAAACCCCTGATATGATACCTTAAAATTTTGTTTAATAAATAAGGAATACCTCTAAGTGTTGCATGCAGACACTCACAGTATTAACCACCATTGTTATACTGATCTTAAAATGTGTTACTTGAGTGTTATTTCTGATGGCTATAGATACATATTACAGCTAGTTAAAGGAATATAATGCGCAAAATATTCTGTCTGAATACTACAGTATATTAGAACACATTCATATCTAATTGCGTAATTATTGAAGGCATAGAGATATACTTTTATTCAAGCATAGATCATATAAATTACAAGTGAATCCTTCTCAATATATCTATACTGTACACTTAATAATTTCTTAGTTATTTTACGTTAACATTATTATTCTCAACTGGTAACCTGACTCTCGTACCAACAAAATATCATCCATAATATCACTTATGAACACTGTATTATTTTTTTATCAAAGATACAATATTGCCAACTGCTAGTCTTAACCTTGTTGCAGGCGTCGTTCTGTGAGGAGTTGACTACCGAGGTAAAGTTCATCGCTAAGTGTTCTGGCAACAGTAAACCAGCCAGGAAGAAACCCCCATCCACTCCTGAAGAGCCGCTCTGTACCTACGGCTCTTACAACACCAACTACGTCCACCCCTGAAGAGCCCCTCTGTACTTATGGCTCTTACAACACCAACTACGTCCACCCCTGAAGAGCCCCTCTGTACTTATGGCTCTTACAACACCAACTACGTCCACCCCTGAAGAGCCGTTCTGTACCTACGGTTCTTATAACACCAACTACGACTACTTCAGAATAAGGACCAAGAAGAGATAATATCGTAAGAAAATGGCGTAGGAGGATTTGACAAAGAAAATGACCTTCTAGTCTTAAGATCATGCCAAGATAATGAGAGCCAGTGGGTGTTATGATACAGTGTGGTGGTGAGAGCTTAGCGGCAGAAATATGATCATCCTCAAGCTGGCATCTTAATGTGTTTCAGATACTGTACACGAGTTAACTATGGGCTCTCACGGTCTGTTATAATATGTCTAACGTGATGAACTGTTTCTTTCTGGGCTTAAGTCCACGCCGACACACACACAACGTCACAAAGGGAAGGAAATAAGGAAATGGAGAGAAAAGATGTAATATATTTGTGTAATTAGGTTATATACACATATACTTATGCAGTTTTACATTTTCTAGGGATGAATATTCTACCAGGATAAACTAAGGAATAGAGCGCCCAAACGATTAGTGAGCTGATAGATGGCGAAAATTAAAAAAACAAAAAAAAAACAAGGAATGAATATTCCTCGCTAGGAAATAGGTCATACTTAATATACCGGTATTTAATTTATCACTTTGAAGGGGGAAGGAAGCCGGTTGCTGGTTTCAAATACCCAATGTTCCTCATGCGTTTGCCCTTCATGGTCCAGTTTTACAGTAGTACGGGAGGAACGGGAGTACCCAGAGAAATCATGTAACGTTTGTTAGGTCACACTGGATTAACACCCTTCTCACACCTGTCCCCGGCAGGGAATGTGTGAAATGTGTAGACAGTAATTAGTATTTTCCCGTTTCTTATGACTAAATGTAGACACAGCAGCATGAAACAACACAAGGACACAGTCCACGTTCAGTGACCTTTTGGCCAACTTTTGTTCTTTTGTAAAGTGAGGCAGATAAATGCGTTGTGACAGTTGTGAGCGTACTTAAGTGTTTAAGAAACACTCCAGTAAGACTACCATTTTTTTACCATCAATAAAATGAAAGGTGAACCATCGACTCCACTCGCATGAGTAAAGTTATACACAGTACGTATATATAAATATTATATTAACTAGGTAATTTAGTATGATAACTGATGTAGACTGTAATGTCTATTTGGCTGACGCGCTATAGAATGAGAGAAGAGTTGTAGTCAAAACAGAGTGGCTGAGAAAATTAATTATTTGCATTAGAAACAAAACAGGTTTTCATCCAACAGTGTCAAAAATTTTTAAGTTTCTTCTACCACATTGTTTTGACCTGTCTCATCTCTCACCGGTAAGCCAACCAAGCGCCGTCGGCCCTCTCATGGTTACCTGTTGTGTGTGTATGACAACAGTTTACCATTATACACAATATAAACAGTTTTCATAAAATTTTAGCCTTAAGATTCTTGATAATCTTTTCTTGTTAACCGTTTCGTTTAGATTTTAGAGGATAAAATATTAAAAATTAATATTTAATACTGTGTGCCATAGTATATGGCCCACATTATTCGTAATTTTAGAATACAATTCAAGTAGGTATATAAAGATGGGTCTTTTATGGGCTATCTTCGATTGAATTTACATTCTGTTGACCAGTGTTTAACTGGCTACACTGTACAGTCACCCAAAAAAGTCCTGTCGCGAACCATGAACCCCGAGATTCACTCTTGAATCCAAAGCATTTATGGACAGAATAATGTATCAGTGTCTACTGCTTCGGGTTCACGAGACTGAATCGTGGTTCGCGACAGGGCTTTTTTTGGGTGACTGTACATGTACAGTAAAAAAAAAGTATCGCGCAGGGGGGGTCTGCTGACTTCCGTAATGATCCATACTCCACCTGATGCGTTCATATTCAGTTATACCATCAACTATATATTCGGCAGGATATGTCGTTAGCAACAGATACGTGAGGACACCCTCAGGCAAGGAAAGCAGGACTACCACCATAATACAGGACCCACACGCATATTCCATTATCCCTCGTCCGTGGTGTCATATTGTTTCGCACATAATCCGTGCAGTGCTTTTTTTTTACTGTGTGTACATGATGAAGCAATGTGCATAGTAAGAAAATGCTAATAATTACAGTGTATTTAAATTTCTCCAAACAAAAACTCGAAAATGCGCAATATTACAAAGCGCAACCCAAGTTTCGGTCACAAACCCCCTCAGGTAGCAGTAGTCCAAGTTGTGTGTGTAGATTTCACAAGGTATGGACGTTCACCAGTTATCTGTTCACTCTGGCGGCGATGTTGTTGTCAAGATGACATGAGCAAAAGACTTTTAATTAAAGGGTGAAGTGAGAAACAACAAGGGTTCAATAATGTGTTTGATACGTCGGTATTGTTCAATTTCAATTTCAATTGTTTATTCCTTGATAGAGGAAGCGGGATCCTAGTGCTGTCACTAGGTACCCCTGTACAATGACACCAGAAGCATCTGGCAAGTGTGACAAGTATATACAGTATTAATATTATAAAGGGCTTACTAAAGCCTAAGGAAGGAAGGATATTCCTTTAACACATAATCAATATTATTTACAAAATATCTGGCCAGTATGGGGAGGATCATCGTGTCTCCGTCAGGGGGTCGTGGAGTGGTGGTCCAGCAGGCGTCACGGAAGCGTTGTGTGTGGGGACATCTTAGGAGGTAGTGAATAAGGGTGCTGCTGTCAGGTCTTCTGCATAACGCACAAGAGCGTTGCTCAGGGGATGCGGGGATACCAATCTCCCAAGCAAAGTCATACCCAATGATGATACGGGCAGCAATCACGTCCCCTTTCCGCGACCCTTTCCCGTAGACGTACGAGAGGTCAGGAAGTTTACGGAGGACATCGTACTAGGTGGGCGGGGAGTCCAGGGGGATGGCTGCTTCCCGAGCTTCTCTCTGTTTGTCGGTATTGTTTTAAAACATTTCCCTTCTCCATCCAGCGGCCGCCACAATTTGTGTCAGGAGTCAAGGGTGCTTCATCGTTCACGTCAATACACTCAAATATAGATATTCAGATCATGAAAGAAATTTCGCCATATGTCGATGAATTTTTTGAATGGCCAAAAGAGCAGATACGTTTCAGTCACTCAGGTTTCAGCAAATGCTGTGGATATTCATTCGGCTTTGAAAAAAAAATGGTAGAAATCATAGAAAAAAATGCCTTCTTTATGTGTAATGTATAGAGAATATTTATCTCTGCCACTCTCTTCTGTGACGTAACAAAGATTCACTTTCTCTGTATTTTTCAGATACCTTTAATAATAATTTCATTATGCTTTTGGTTCTATCAGATGAGTGATTAAAGCGCATATTGTTTTCTTTTCCTCTGTCATTGAAGAATATATTGCAATTATAAATAGATATGCATAGACGATACTGTCTACTTGTTCCTGTTTGTGTGTGTGTGTGTGTGTGTGTGTGTGTGTGTGTGTGTGTAAGTCAGGTAGTGATGGGATAGTGTGTATGGGAGGGAGTGCGCAATGTAGTCAAACAGGTGAATGATTACATGAAGGGACATTATTAGCTTGTTTAAAAGTAAAAAAAAGCAAGAGATAATTAAAGTATATAAACAAGGAATCAACAGTACCAAGTCTTCATGGCTTACCTAGCTCACTCAAAGGACCAAATTATTAAATTCCAAAGAAAATCAACTTGAAGGGTGAAAGTTTTGATCTGTGAGATAAGAGTGAAGTGAACCAGCCTCCTGTGTTTCATATATGAAGGTTCGTTTTTTTTTTTTACTTTAGCCTTGTTATATAAACATATTGTAGTCAAGTGAAGCATACAAATTATGATTAATGTGTGGTAGTATGACACAAAATGTATCATATAGATTATATTGTTGATGCGTATTAGTAATTATTAAGCTTTTTTTATTTCGTATTCAAATATATTGAATGTTGGCATCTAGCCTGTGTGATGCATTTTATGTTCGTAAGAATTCGTTAATACTGTTATAAGTAGCTCGAAACTTAACTCACATGTTTACTGTGTATGTATATGTTACCAAATTGTCATACACTCAAGGTTGGTAGAAATTAGCCAAATATTACTAAATAGTAGTTGTTACATATAAAAATTAACACGTACAGCAGAGATGGATATGTCTGTCTAAAGTGATTACAATACAGTCCAGTTCAGTACTCTTAGGATAAAAGTTAAAAGCAGTATGTTTTCTGCGAAGAATTCACTTCTCATATTGATGTACAGTAATTTGACCTATAGGCTATCCACACGTGTTACTTTTATGCTTTTAATTTTCACTACTGTACCATTTTGACAAACTGTTTAGTGATGATAACAATCCTACCAAATCTAACTTAATTTGACATCGGTAACTACACCAAATTTAACCTAAGATAATTAACTAAATCAAATGAAGTCAACTTAACTTAAGCTAACAGAATGTAACCAAACTTAAACTAGCTTAACCCAACCTAAACCAAAACTAACTTAATCCATGATAATCTCCTTTAAGTTTACTGAAAGTTCCTCTGTGTTTCCCATTACCTTCTTTCTCCTCCTCTTATACCCTCCCTCCCCTACTATACTCTCCCCCTCTCTTCTCCCATACCCTCTCCCTACTCTTCCTATACCCTCCCTCCCGTACTATACTCTCCCCCTCTCTTCTCCCATACCCTCTCCCTACTCTTCCTATACCCTTCCTCCCCTACTATACTCTCCCCCCTCTCTTCTCCCATACCCTCTCCCTACTCTTCCTATACCCTTCCTCACCCCCTCCTACTTACCTAAAGCACCCTGGCCTCCTACATACAATACTCACTTAAACGGTCTCCTCCCACCAACAGAGAGAGGAAAAGGGAGATGCAGCCTCGGCAGCAGAGTTGGGTCTCGAAAACGTGGGCGGCGTCTTCGTGGTGATGGTGGGAGGCATTGCCCTGGCCTGCCTCACTGCTTGCTGCGAGTTCATGTGGAAGGCGCGAAAATTGGCTACTGACGAGGGGGTGAGTGGTTAATAGTGGTAGTGTCAGGGGTAGTGGTGAAGTTGGTGGTAGGGGTGGAGTTGGTGGTGGTGGAGGGAGTAGTAATGGTGGCGGTGGAGGGAGTGGTAATGGTGGTGGTGGAGGGAGTAGTAATGGTGGCGGTGGAGGGAGTGGTAATGGTGGTGGTGGAGGGAGTAGTAATGGTGGCGGTGGAGGAGGGTAATAGGTGTAATGGTGGTGGTGGAGGAGTAGTAATGGTGGTAGAGGGAGTGGTAATGGTGGTGTTGGAGGGTGTAGTAATGGTGGTGGTGGGAGGAGTGGTAATGGTAGTGTTGGAGGGTGTAGTAATGATGGTAGAGGGAGTGGTAATGGTGGTGGTGGAGGGTGTAGTAATGGTGGTAGAAGGAGTGGTAATGGTGGTGTTGGAGGGTAGTAATGGTGGTGGTGGAGGGAGTGGTAATGGTAGTGTTGAGGGTGTAGTAATGATGGTAGAGGGAGGGTAATGGTGGTGTTGGAGGGAGTAGTAATGGTGGTGTTGAGGGTGTAGTAATGGTGGTGGAGGGAGTGGTAATGGTGGTGTTGGAGGGAGTAGTAATGGTGGTGGTGGAGGGAGTGATAATGGTGGTGTTGGAGGGTGTAGTAATGGTGGTAGAGGGAGTGGTAATGGTGGCGTGGTGGAGGGAGTAGTAATGGTGGTGGTGGAGGAGGGTAATGGTGGTGTTGAGGGTGTAGTAATGGTGGCGGTGGAGGGAGTAGTAATGGTGGTAGAGGGAGTGGTAATGGTGGTGTTGGAGGGTGTGTGGTGGAGGGAGTGGTAATGGTGGCGGTGGAGGGAGTAGTAATGGTGGCGGTGGAGGGAGTGGTAATGGTGGTGGTGGAGGGAGTAGTAATGGTGGTAGAGGGAGTGGTAATGGTGGTGTTGGAGGGTGTAGTAATGGTGGTAGAGGGAGTGGTAATGGTGGTGTTGGAGGGTGTAGTAATGGTGGTAGAGGGAGTGGTAATGGTGGCGGTGGAGGGAGTAGTAATGGTGACGGTGGAGGGAGTAGTAATGGTGGCGGTGGAGGGAGTGGTAATTCTTTTACTTTTATCCTCTTCGCCGCTGATCGGCTCGTTAGCCGCTTGGGCGGTCGGTCACGTCTCTGATACGCACTTTTGGCAAGTACTGGGCATGTACTGGCTTCTGAATGTATCTGAACCAGCTTCAGTGTTGGTCAAGTCTGGTCTTGAAAGAGCTCACACTCGGGTGGTGGAGCTAGTGGTACTGGGTAGTGAAGTTACTGGCAGGGGTGGAGTTGGTGGTGGTGAAAGTAGTAGTAGTAGCAGTAGTAGTGGTAGTGAAGGTAGTGTTGGGGTTGTGATGGCGAGGGGTGGTAATGACAGAGTTAGTGGTGGTGGCAGGGGTGGTAATGGTAGGGTTGGTGGTGTTGAAGGTACAGTGTATTGGCATGCATGGTAGTGTGGCAGGGTTGGTTTTAGTAATGGTGGTGAAGGTAGTGACAGGGTGTTGGTGATGGTGAAAGTTATGGCAGGGTTGTGGTGAAGGTAGTGGCAGGGTTAATGGTGAAGGTAGTGGCAGGGTTAATGGTGAAGGTAGTGGCAGGGATGGTGGTGATGAATGTAGTGTCAGGGTTGTTGAGGTGGTGATAGGAATGGTGATACTGGATTTGGTTAAAATTTCTTCCCTTGACCTAGTCAAATTTTGCTTCCATATACTCAAACTCAGTTGAATGTTTTACTTCTTAAATAAC